TTTGTTGAAAATGAGAATGTTGTGAATGCTGAATTTGTTGAAAATATGAATGCGGTGAATGCGGAATTAGTAGAAAATGAGAATGATGTGAATGCGAAATTAGTAGAAAATGAGAATGATATGAATGAAAATGAGAATGCTTTGAATGTGGAATTAGTAGAAAATGAGAATGATGTCAATGAAAATGAAGAAAATAAACATATTGATTTTTCTTGCAATATTGAACATGAGAATGAAAGTGCAACTCAAAAACATTTTCAATGAATTATTTTATTATTTTTTTATTGATGCAGGTGACAGAAGGTGACAATTTTTTTTAGAAGATGAAAGCTGATGACGGAAGATTAGGAGAAAAAACAATTTCTTGATGGGGTGGGAATTCAAACGTTCTTTTTATTTCATTTTGTTTTGTTAAAATTGTAATATTCTGAATTTTTTATATATGCGAGTTTTTGTGCCGTTGAATATTTTTTACACAAGGCTTTAATGAAATTCCAGTTTTTCTTTTATAATTTATTATTATTTTGTAAAAACCATTTATAAAAAAATAAAACTGAGGGCACAATTTATCTTTTTTGCCCCGGGCATTAAAATGGTCAAGGCCGGCCCTGGCGTGTAGTCTTCATTCACGGTTGGTAAGTCGCGCCCCCCCTGTCTCGCTGATCCGAAATCGCATATATAGATGTTGTAATTCTGTTAATATAATAAAATGTGTTAATATTTCACAAATTTATAGTACATATATTAATTGAATTCGAATAACTACCTCGTCCACTAGAATATTATTGGGCTTAATGTCCCCGTTGACGTAATTTTCCGCGACAATTGCTTTTACTCCGTAAGCCAATTGTTTTAAAATTTCAAGCGTATGGGACCATGGCAGCTCGTCTCCAAACAAAAACAGTCATGAAAATGCATCATTTAATGTGGATAATACAACAATAGATTAACTAATAGAGGACATGATTTCAGAGACAAATTAACAGAGGACAGAGGACTAACAAACAATAATTAATTACTTAACTCCATAATAAAAAAAAATTATATATCTCTGGCCGACCTTTTTGCGAGAGTGGAATTTTTTTCACGGCAATAGTTTTTGCGTGAAAATTCTTAGTGAACTCCCCCCTAAACACTAGTGCGTGCGATACTTTACCGCACGGATCAGTAAAATTGCCCGTCATACGTTTCATCTCCTTCATCGTGAAGGTTATGATTTCCTACAAGATAAAATAGTGGTTTGAATAATTAGTTAATTAAATTCACAGGCGTCTTAAAACTTATTCTTTATTAATTTTTTATTTCCAAAACGGTTAATCTAGCTGGCCAGATTCTGGCCACTCAGAATTGTCAATTCTGTAATTTTATGAAAACATAATTACGAGTAATTACTATCCTACCCTTCAATAAATATTGACTGATCCCAATTACGTAAAGATTGATCAATATTCATTCTTAATCAGTTATATTATAGTATACTAAAATAACAACATAGATTATTATTTTTTTGATTTTATATAAATAACTCTTCAAATTTAAATCAAATAAATGAATTATAACAAATATTTGATTTAATAATTGTTTTGACTTTTGATTCAAACTCTAATGCTTTTAATTTTTTATTTTAGTTGATATACCTTAATTTTAGATAATAATAATAATAATAATAATAATAATAATAATAATAATTATAATAATAATAATAATAATAATAATAATAATAATAATAATAATAATAATAATTGATAAACTTCAAATATAACTTTAAAGATTAAGTACAATGAAGTATATATCCTAACAATATAATACAATAAGATCGAGTAACAACAAACGAGTCCATGAATTTATTCTCCCACACATTAAAGCAAGAGAAATGAAAGCTAAACCCTTCACATTTATTATCCCACCACCGACCATCCACTCTCCATTCTCCACTCCAACCGTTCCCACTTCCTTAATGACAAATTAAGCTGGAAATTAAGGAGGTAAATTAAGTGTTAAACTTGGAGTATGAAGGATATAAATGGTATAAAGTATAAATAAAAATAAAAAAATTATAAAAAATTAAATTCTGGCCGGCCAGAATCTGGCCATTTATCATTGTCCTTTCCAAAAATAATATTTGTCGGAACAAAAAAAATTACATTCTTCATTAAATGAAATAGGAGGGAG